GTTTTATTAATCAGATAACTAAACTATTTAATTCTTCTCAATCAAGCCTCTAGTTGTTAATATTTAAGAACGTAATAAATGTGGCAATTAAATAAATTGGTATAGTTACATATTTAGTCCTTATTACTTACACAATTAACCAATTTGATCTTAATTATTATTTAATTCAATAAATTTAATTCTCAAATCAAATAGTGACATGTTTCACCACCTTATTAGAAAGTGTTTTTATTTTTAATTTATTTAATTTAATAAATTTAATATATTTTACTCCAATCACAAGATAACACGTGTTAAAATTATTTTTGCAAACCAACAGCTTGAAGCATGGGATGGGCACAGCTCTACCACTGTGACAGCCAACTTATTATATTCAATTTTACAACATAAACTATATGTTCTGTTATGCTCAATTGCAGAAAATTAAGGAAACAAAATTGGTTAAATTAGTACTAATGTATAAAATATTTCAAATTTCATAAAATTCATACAACTTTATGAAATATTTAAAAAAAATAATAATGGTACAAATTTTATTTTATTTTAAAATATTACGTATATAACATTTTAATAAAAATATTTTTTCTTTTAGATAATGAAAAAATAGTTAAACTGACATTAATGCATAAAATATTTCAAAATACATGAAATTCGTATAATTTTATAGAATATTTTGAAAAATATAATGGTATAAGTTTTGTTTTAAAATAAATTTTTACGTATATAATTTTAAAATAATTAAAAAAATATTTTTTTCAAAATATTTCATAAAATTGTATGAAATTTGGAAAAAAATATACATTAGTGTCAATTTAACCAATTTTGTTTCCTTATTTTTTGCAATTGAGCATAATAGAATATATATATATTATGTTGTAATGCAAAACACAATGTAGGATCTGTCTCAGTGTTGAGAGTTGCGCTCAACAAAACTTTAAGTTGCCAGTTTGAATCACACATGTCACGTTGTGATTGGATTAAAAATTTATTAAATTAAATAAATTAAAAATTTCTCTTTAACTACGTGATGACACATGTTGCTATTTGATTTAAGAATTAAATTTATTGAACTAAATTATAATTAGGATCAAATTGGTTAAATGTGTAAGTAATAAGGACCAAATTAGTTAAATGTGTAAGTAATAAGGACCAAAATAATTAAATGTGTAAGTAATAAGTACCAAATATATAAATATACTAATTTATTTTACTCTGTTAAATATTAGTGGCTAGTGGTTTAATGTCACTTTTTCCGCACAATCAAATTGAAACATTTTAGTCTAGTACACAATCCATCCATTGAAGCAATCAAAGAGGAAGAGAGAGATGGCATCTGGTTGGGGAATCAATGGCACCAAAGGCAAATGCTACGATTTCTGGGTTGACATCAGCGAGTTCATGTCCAGTTTCCGAGAGCCCAAGGACTGCGCTCTCCTCCGTGAAGACTATCTCGAACGCCTCCACCATTCCAAGGAGGTATTGCTTCCATTTCAATTTCTTTTAACTGATTTCATTTCACTTCGATTTGATTCGATGATTTACTCATTTATTGTCGTCGTTGAAATGTTATGAAACCCTAATTCCTAATCTTATTTTCTGTGGAATGTCTAATTACTATTCCTAGACCATTTCACGATATACTGCATTTTGATTTTAACTGTGATTACCATAATCTAGACGTAGTTTATGAGATAAGTTATTTGTTTCTTGTCCTTCTCATTTCACAATTTGTTAAATATTGATATTCATTCCCTGTGCTACTTTAAAAAATGAGGTCCCTCCAATATTTTATAATAACAATTAATTTGTCAAATTTGAAATTTACGAGGGATCTACGAAACGATTAAAGATAGTGTCAAAGTCTTCATTTGCAACTTTCTCCGCCATGGAATGTTAGTTTTCCCTTCAAATGAAATTGTCCTTAGAGGTTGTACATGGACATGTCTAAATGACATTCAGGTGTGGGGCCCTCAAATTTTGGAGCCCTGTGATGTCACAGACCACACTTGTACATGGACGATCTTGTTGATCTTTGACTCTTGAACGCACTGAATTTCAGACCCTATGACCTTGGTGTAATACTCTAATCATTTGCAATTGATCGTTAGAGTTGTGTTGTTTGTTTCTATATCATGCTTAGATTCTTGTTTTCCCTGATTTGAGAAAAGGGACAAGTTGGATCCATGTTGACAAACATAGTGCTGCTTAAGAATTATAATCTGGTTTACTTTGAGAATTCATCTACCTCGAGATTGTTTTGATGTTTTCATGGTAATAGGTAAACTGACTTCTAAATACATGAAGCTTTTGGCATTACTTCTCCGCAGAATTGCCCTTTTCATTTATAATTTCATTCCTCATATTCATCAATTACTTTCTGGAACCAGAATTGAATTATCTGATATCATTTTCTATTTCTCGACTTTTCATTTCTTTTGGTATCTTATTCCTTATGAAAAAGAACCTGCCAAATTTGTTTCCTTATAAACCAGTTTTCAAGAAGATGAAGTCTAAAATCAACTTCAAATTAGGGACAAAAAGGAAGATATGAAGTAATATATAGGAGTTGTATCTGGGATGTGCAATACTTGTAATATAACTCATATAAGCTCCAGCAGCGTAGAAAGATCAAAGTCAACTTCTTTAGGTACATAATGAATTCTGTAGGATTAGTGTGATAAATTAAACATATATAGGCAGCAATATCATATTATGCTGTTTTAAATAGATAAATATATGCTTTCCCACCCACGTTTTTACTAATATCCTGCAAGCCAGAGTGTTTGTTTAGCTCAAAGGGAATTAGAGCTACAACACCTGATATCTGGATCAATATGGCTGTGACTTTGCAGCAGTTGTCTTCATACAGTTTTACGTGTATGTTAGAATTATACCATCTATGATTGAGGTTTTCCTTAGAAAATACTATTTTTTCTGTAATTTTTGAAATAGTATTACGAGATGTATGCCTCGTGTTGATAAGTGTGATTTATGCAGAAAAGCCCAATATGTGTCTGATATTGTTTAATGGCTTTACTATGGAGGGCAGTTTGAATACATTATCATGAAGGATAAATGAGCTTTGTGTATATTTAGTCATTTTGGCTTCGCATTTTCTTCTCCTATGAAGTGAGCTTAGATCAGGGCAAATAGAATTTGGACATAACAGTTTTTCAACATGGCCTTGTAAATTGTGTTAGATCTCTTGGTTTCATCCCATGATCCTTAGGGACGAATGTGGCTGTGTCGATTAAATGGTGCTCTGATCCATTTCATACGTTGACAATCATCGTTTTCGATCTCGATAATTATTGCAGTTTCGGCGAAGGAATCGAATTTATAAGGAAAAGTAACGTAAATTGAGAGCTGCTGCACGGAAAGACAAGGACGGTGCAAATGGTGTTCACCATCATTGTTGTTGTTTTTTGTTGGGATTTTTCTAAATGGCCTTGGTTTCCCTTGGAAAGAGCATTGCTGTTTGGAGCCTGTGCAACAGAGGCAATCATTAAATATTTCATAACAACACCCTTTGTGTGGCAGCACCATTGATTTGAGAATATATTGCGCCTTTGAGAATCCTATGGACTTCTACTATTGTAGAATTTACTTAAATCATTATCTAATTATGGACTTGGATTACATTCCATTTCATCACAAGTCTAAAAAATTGTGCCGTTCTAACCAAGGAAGAACTTATATTATTACATTGAAATTCAATTTATTAATCGATTAATTTGGACTGAGTACTACAAAGGCTAGGGTGATTGTACCAACTTAATTTGCTCCATTTGTAAATATTAAGATTTAACCTCTGATCTTATTTAAGAAATCAAGTGTCTCATCTCACTAGACCAATTGATTATTGGTAACCAAGGGTGATGTAAAGTTCTTAACGCGAATTACCCAATCTGTCGACCTATTGATCCTGTATAAAATTATCGGGTACTTTAAAGATAAATACCCGATTTTATGTGCCAGGTATTGACCCTTTATTTTGGCGGATTTTCAAGTTAGGTACGAGTCACAAAATTACCCTTGATCGGACATTTGCTGACTTTTGGCTAAGTTTTCCTTTTTTATTTTATTATTATTTTTATTTAAACTAGACTTTTTATTTCTAATTTCAAAATTATTTCACCTTAACATTTAAATTATTTCTTTTAATCTCAAATTATTTTAAATTTAATTATTATTTTATTTTATTTTCATATTTTTTAAATTTTATTTTATATTATATAGTCTGGATTTATAAATTTTATATTTATATTATGTATTATAAAATTTTAAGTTTTAAATTTAAGTACTTATATACATATTTTTTAAGTATTAATATTAATTGGATAATTGTTACATGAGAATATGTGTATTTGGAGTTTATGAATATCTACTTATGAGTGCCTACCTCTTATGAACGAAATTTTTTTAGATGATCTCGATTCATCATGTTATATGTGGTCTCAACTAATAATAATTGGATAATTGTTACATGAAAATACGGGTATTCGGAGTTTACGGATATCTACTTATGAGTGCCTACCTCTTATGGACGAAATTTTTTTAGATGATCTCGATTTATCATGTTATATGTGGTCTCAACTAATAATAATTTTTCATCTCATTTTTTAAAGTGAATCTTTACCTCTTTCTTATATATAAATAAAAAGTAAAAAATTATTTAAAAATTTATTAGTCTCATTCATTTATACATAAATAACGTGGCGAGTAGAGACTCTTAAATAATTTATTCTTACGGATTGAGATAGTGTCGAGTTTTTGTGACCCGAAAGTCTGGGTAATTGACATTTCGGATAGCCGAAAATCCTACATACTGTAATCATACGTCAGCATTTTCCTCAACAGATACAGGTGGACAGATCAAATGGAAAAGCAGAGATTTTCATCCAATAGATTGCAAGCTCACAAAAACATCTTCTGTATACGCACCACACGGTAACCTTACCCCACCCAAGTATTTTCCTTATTTTCTTGCCTAACCTTCAAATCTCAAAACACTAAACAATCTCTTATCCGAAGATCTCCATCTCGGGGGAAAAGACACATCTTGTCGCAGGTATTTCAAATCCTAAATCAACCCGTCTTTCCCTTCATTATTTAAACCCTAAAGGACATATCTAGAAAATATCTTTGTGTGTCTTTTGTATTTTTCAGGGAAGAGAAAGAAAACATGAGTAGCCGTTCGAGCAGGACTCTTTATGTTGGAAATCTTCCTGGTGATGTACGCGAGAGGGAAGTAGAAGATTTATTTTACAAGGTTATACTTACGAAAATTCCAACGTTCCTATTATTTTATTTTATTTTATTTTATTTTTTGTAATCATATCATCAGGTCTTCATTATTTTAGGTTAAATGGAACTTTTTCTTCTGAGAAGATAAGTTAAATTTTGATGTTTGACTGTGAAGTACTTGTTTGGGAGTAGATTAGGAGAAAACAATTTGTCTTATCTGGAACTTTGAACTTTAAGATGGAAAATTTGAGGATTTTGGTTTGAATGCTGTGCTTAGGATCATATTTATGTAACATTGAAATGCTAAGAAATGAAATTGTGAAGACTGCAAGTAAAGATGAGTAATCAACAAAAATTCTTCTTTAATCTTGGCTACCAATATGTAAGGATAACCCAAATGTAGTTGTACTTGTGGTACTATACTTCTGGTCGTGTTTTACTTACACGCTTCTTTGAGAATATTTGTGAAAAAAGTTTTTTCTTTTGAATTTATGGCGTGGAACATAGTTATTTCTTTTATTGAGTTTGGCTTGCTTGATATGGATTTCAGTGAATCTCATGGTATGCCTTCCTTAGATTAGTAAATTTTATGTAAGTTTAAAATATTGTATTTTTGTTTTTTGCAGTATGGTCCCATAGCCCATATTGACTTGAAGATTCCGCCAAGACCTCCTGGTTATGCATTTGTTGAGGTGAGTTAAGTTGCTGATCTTTTGGTGAGGTGGTTGTTAGGGTGGGGGTTATTTTTTGGGTATTTGTTTCTTGTCTTGATGTTTTCTTTTTTTCCTAGTTTGAAGAGGCTCGAGATGCTGAAGATGCAATTCGTGGTCGTGATGGCTATGATTTTGGAGGACAGCGCTTGCGGGTTATTTCCTTTTCTTGCATGTTTAGGTTTTATTTTGCATCTAGTCACTGTGTCTTGAACTTTGCTTTATAAGCTCACTTCTCATCTTCTTAATTAATTGCAGGTTGAACTTGCACATGGCGGTCGTGGCCGTTCGTCCTCAGATCGTCACAGCAGTTATGGTGGCGTACGTGGACGTGGACCATCCAAACGTTCCGAATATCGTGGTTCGTTATCTTTTTACATTCCTTTATCCTTGTGCTATATATTTTAGGCTACTTATGATTTTTTTCAATGGATTGCTTGATGTGCAGTGTTAGTCACTGGGTTGCCATCTTCTGCTTCATGGCAGGATCTTAAGGTAAAAGCTAATTTTGCTAAATTTTTCAGCCACCAAATCCAAAAAAAAAAAAGGTGTAACCCATAATAGAGGATATTGAAACAAATATTTTTTGTGGTGTATTTAACTCAGGATCACATGCGTCGAGCTGGGGATGTTTGTTTCTCCCAAGTTTTTCGCGATGGTGGTGGTAAGACACTATGTTTAATGTTCATGGTTGACTGATCCTTTATCTTTTATGTCTAATTCTATATAAAATTAGTCTTTTCTGTTTTCTTAAATGAAAGTTAAACCACTTCATAACTGTAGGCTTGCTGATGAAGTTTTTTTTGTTTATCAGGGACAACAGGGATAGTGGATTATACCAATTATGATGACATGAAGTATGCTGTAAGTTACCTTTCCTTGTGTAACTCTTGTTCTGCACGGAATACATTGTCATAATTTAGTCAATGTGACTGTAATTATGATTATGTATAACATTTCATCTTCTTCTATTCAGATCAAGAAACTAGATGACACTGAATTTCGGAATGCCTTTTCTCGGGCTTATGTTCGGGTATATGATCTCAACTTAGCTTCGAGAAACTGTAGGAATATTATTCAATTTTCCAACCAACATATATTATTGTAAAGCTTAGTTTACTTGTTTAATGCTATTTATCCTTTACTATTATTTTGGAAAAAGGTCTAGATACCTTTCAAACTATTCTAAAAAATTCAATTAAGCCCCTTGCAACCTTTTGCACAGAATTGAGTCCTCCATCTGGAAAAATTCATCAATTATGCCCTTTAACCATTAAGTTTAAAGGTTGACAGTTAAGTGTCGTTAACATTGATGAGGTGGCTATTTTTCGAGGTTGAGTCACCTGGTAAGTGGCACGTGTAATAAGAGCTTATGTAGACTATCTTTGGAATAGTTCGAGGGCCATCTGGACATTTTTTCCTATTATTTTCCATTTTTCTTACTAAAGCTTTTTCCCTTTAGGTTAAGGAATATGATTCTAAGCGAGATTCCTCTAGAAGCCCTAGTCGTGGTCGTTCTGTCTCAAGAAGTCGCAGCCGCTCTCGTGGTCGGAGCAAGAGTCGCAGGTTTTTCCTTATACTTCGGGATATGAAATTTTATTTATGGCTTAAAAGTTGCTTGTTAACCTTGCAATTGTTATGCAGCAAATCTCCTAGAACCAAACCTTCTCGCAAGTCACCTGCAAAGTCAAGATCAAGGTCTCCTCGTTCTCGCTCTGCATCAAGGTCTCGCTCTTTGTCAGGGTACACTTGCTTTCCCATTCCTGTTGAACATGCGTTTTCCCTGCTCTTTATTGCTGCATCAAGGATATTGGTATCTATTATTGTTCCTGGTTGTTAATTAATAATTTCCTCTACTTGCCTGTTGTCTTGTCCTCATTGATAATGTTTTAGATTTGTTGGCCTTGCAGTTGGCTTTTGTCTGTATTTGAAGATTATCTTTAAAATGAATCCTAAGTCTTAGACGAGTATAGGGTTTGAAAATTCAAGGTTGCTATACTTTTGGATTCTGAAATGAACATGGAAATTGCAATGCATTAACTGCAGCTTTTTTGGGAAGCCGAAGTGCTGGACTAACTCATTTTGAAGAATGAATATTTAGTTTGATAACATGAAGGAATTTTTTGTTTGCTTATGCATTTTGGAATCAACTTCTGTCATGTGGTTGTCAACTTGAATTTATGCCGCATGCTTTCCTTGCCTGGTCTGTCTTGAAACTTGGTCAGGACTGCATCCCAGCTATTGAACTACATCTTATTCTTTTGTTATGAAATTGTCATTTGTCTTTTAGATATGGATATTTGCAGCAAACCTGGGGATTGGATTTTTTGGGATCTTGTGGGGATATGTTTCAAATTGCATGCAACTCGTATGGTTGCAGAGGTATGCTGTTTTTTTAGATGGGCAGCTTAAAAACCTTCACTCCTGTCCCTTGTCTAACGTACATAGCATCATAAATGTCCATGGGTGCTAGATTGGTAACAAAGGAGTCAATGGATTGCTTAATAGAGCTGGATTTCTTTTCAAGGAATTGCAATAGTAGAGCTGGATTTCAGTGAAGTAAATGCACTGGGATTTCCAAGCAATCAGTTTTGAGCTCTTTGCCAAGCTAATAGGGCATGCTATGTGGGTTGACTATGGATTTTGGTGGCACTGGAGCTTGCTCTTTCTATATCCGCTGGTGTCAAAATATTAAAATTTTTAAGGATTTCATTATGCTAGATTGGGTTTTGTTCCTTGTGTTGGCAGTTGTTCTTATTTTTTGTTTCCTTATTTAACTGCTAAAGATCTATGCAATCCCCTTTTTATTCCTTTTGAATGTGGTGATTCTGACGTGGAAGGGGCATCAAGGCTCTTGGACATAAAGCTGTTAAAAAGGAACATGCTGAATTTTAAACTTGGGTTCTTTCTGGAACTTTTGCAGATCTCGATCAAGATCCAGATCTCCTTTGCCTTCTGTAAGTTCTCTTTGCACATATGGTTGAGTCAAAAGTTCAAATTTAAGCTGTCTTTTTTAAGCTTTGAAAGAATAGGTTTCTGTTATGTTCAATTGTGCGGTTTGTTGAGTCAAAAGCTCAAAATCTAATCTGACCCTGGTTGCTATTCTTTCCTTTTTATTGGTTATTTTGTTATATATTTTACATTTCTCTTAGCAGCGTGGAAAAGGAAGGAGCAGGAGTCCTAAAAGACCTAGTGTTAGCAGGAGTCCTAAAAGACCTAGTGCTAGCATGAGTCCTAAGAGACGCAGTCTTAGCCGGAGTCCTAAGAGAAGCGGTGTTAGCCAGAGTCCTAAAAGACGCAGTGCTAGCAGGAGTCCTAAAAGATGTGCTAGCAGGAGTCCAAGTGGGAGTAGAAGCAGGAGTAGGAGCAAGAGTTTATCCAGGTCTGGAGTCTTGATCTCTCTAATGTTGATTTCCTTAAATTGCCAAATAGAAAAAGAAATATAGTAGATGACCAATTTCTTCATAATCCATTTATCTGCAATAGTCCTATTAAATTTTTATTTGACAGGTAGGTTACCTTGCAGAGATGGCTGATGGAGATCCTATGAAATTTTAGGTAAGCAGTGGGGGAATAAAGTTATTGGAAATGTATCTGTTATGCCGGATTACATACATGGCCAAAGTTTGCTTTTGTAACTATTGTTGAACTCCGTTGCTATGGTTTGGAACAGCTGAAGTATTATAATATTATTTATAATGAGAACCATTTCCATTAAATTAAAAGAGGGGCACTCAATCTCCATCCGAAGATGCCTTAATGAGGGCAACTGAGATGACGATTGCGGAACTGAAGTGGTTAGTGCTCTATCATGTCAACTGCCAAGGAGCTGGATGTGCGGAGGAACATGTTTCTTCTTTCGGCCTGTCTTTGTCGGTTCATGATTTCATTGTTTGTGGACATGGCTTCACGTCTTCACGTCATCCTTTCGGCCCTTTTTAATTGATTTAATAATTAAATATTCATTATTTTTAAAATTTTATTATAATATTAGATAAATAATCAGTCAAAAGTATTTCAACGGTTGTACACCGTGGTAGTCAACGATCTAGGTCAACATATAACAGTTCAATTGTGATTTCTGTAACGCCTATTAACGGCTGTTAACATGAAGTGACCAATTTGTAACACACAATAACATTAGTGATCAATTTGTGATTTTTGAAATATTAGTGGTGAAAACAAATACTAATCCAGACACTAGTAACCATTGGCGTAGTTTACCCAAAAACTTATGGTTCATACATTAACTTAGATAGGATGATTTTTAGTTCAAATGATTGTCAATTTTTTAATGGAAAATGAATGTTAAGGATGCAAGGCTTCCTATGTGGGTACATGTCCATCATGAAATTCGATTTTTTTTTATATTAGTTCATTTTATTGATGTACTTATTCTGATATTTTATTTGTACCTACTTTTTCATACGGAATTTTTTGTTATTAATATATATGTATTCACCAAAAAAAATTCTAGATTCGTCAATAAAAAAGAATGAGTTTAAAACATATTAATAGTCAATTAACCATTTTGTAATTTTAATAATCGATGACTCAACAAAACAATATCCTATAATTGAGAGATTATTTTATAAATTTAATAGTTGATGATTCAATAAAACAACACTATATGATTATATACCATTTGTGCCCTCTATCCTTTGGTTTTATATGAACATCACAGTGTTGTTTGAGAGATGACTACATATTTGAACACTCGCATGAAATGTATTAAGTAGACAAATATTACAAAAAACAAATATAAAATGTGATGATTCACACCAATATTCAATAATCAGGCATTATTGGTATTACAGTCCAGTGTTCAACATCGATGATTATTGGCCTTTTCCAGGGACTAATGTTTGGTCTTTGGCCTCTTAACGATCATCACAGAGCAGTGAGCATGATGTGCACAATAATCACTCACACTGCCAAGAAAAGCCCTGAAATACAGTACATTTGTTAGAACCTGGACTGAAATACAACTGTTATGTTGTAGTAATATTGTAAGAGATTAGATAATAGGTCTACCTCTTTATAGCTCCATAACCATGGCTGCCGACGGCCAGCACCGAGGCATGGTGTTTCTCTACAGCCTCACAAAGAACATTCCTGGCATCACCTTCCACCACTTCAACCACCGCATCATGCACCTTCGTATGACCAGAAACAACTAAATTGGCCTCTTGGATAGATGTTTAGCAGAACTAATACCCTGTGTTTTTTCTTTAATTAGGCTTGACATTGATCTTCAGCCTTTGGATTTTTGTACTTCACTTGCTCGCTATTAATCAATATATATATTTTATTTTTCATTCGATATAATGTCAAAATTAACTCCTAATATTTATTGAAGTGATCATTTTGGTCTTTATTCTTTTTAAAGCATTTTGACCTTAATGTTCTAGTTTAGGATAAAAAAGACTCAAACTTTTAATCTAATAATCACTAACTCTTCTTTATTCCTAGAGAATTATAGCCCTCAACATTTTTAATCTATGGAAGATTCTTTTTGTCCTAAAATGAAACATTGATGGCTAAAATACTAAAAATAAATAAAGATCAAAATGATCATTTTGATAAAGGTTAGGATTAATTTTGATATTATACGTTTTCATTTTAGAATGATATCGGAAAGAAGGGAAAAGATGTATGGCGATGAATACCGATTTAGCAAGGCAGAGTTCCTTGGCCTTGTCCACAACCCTGGCGGCGATCTTCTTCAAATCAGCATCCACGTACGGCCATACATCAGCAGCTCCTACCAGTACCATAGTACATCAATTATAAGAAAGGAAGGGACAGTTAGTTGATGAAAAGGCAAAGAAATAGTACCAGGTCCGGCCAGACCAATAGAAGCAGCAGCAGTAGGCTTGGCATGAACGATGAAGAGCTTGAATGGAGGATTTGAAACCAAAGGAGCGAAGAAGTGATCGAGCGTCCATTCCAACGCGTACATACTGTGCTCGCTATCGTCGATTCCGACCACTATGGCTTGCTTCTCCGACGTCGCCATTGATGTTCGATTGTGTCTTTGGAATTCCAAAACAAGTTGATTTATTCACAAACGAAGCGGCGCAAGAAGAAGAGCAACTAGAAGACGCTATCTGCTGATTGTGATTTGTTCCCTATCGCACTCATTTATTTATTTATTTTAAATATTCTGAACGATTATAAATATTATATGTTCATAATTTTTTTTATGGTAAAGTATAGTTATAATTACTGAATTTTTTTAAAACTTTTATTTAGATCTTTTAATTTTTAAAACTTACAATAAAGTCCCTCAACATTTAATTCGTTTATAATATGGTCCCCGACATAACCGGTCATTTACAATATGGTCCCCGACGTAACCGACCGTTTGACGCCGTTGAGATATGGAAGAAGAAAAAGGGAAAAATACCTTTTTGTGAAAATCCATGGAAGAATTAACAAAGTAATGACGCTTAGGAACTTTGACGAGCCTCAAAGAAGAGAAATCGAAATCTTGAACAATAAGATCGGTTGATGTTGCCCAACCATCAATATACGCATCTCCTTCTCCAAAAAAAAAAGCCGCCTGAATAGCTTTGCGAAAGATAGCCCCATTCTTCACGTCTGCAAAAACACTAAATTTCAAAATCATCAATTTAATTTGAAAATGAAAAACTAACCGTGCCACCTTGGCTGTCGAGGGAGATGTTGAATAGATGGTTGTGCGGTCGTCCCTCTTCCTCTCTTTCCTCTCTCTCCACTACATCCACTTCCAGTAACTTACGACAGGAATAAAAAAAATAGGTGAAGTAGGAAAAATAAAAAAGGGTTAAAAGGGTGTGGGATTTTAAAATTGAAAACTGCGGCGTTTGTAAACACAAGTGCCCCTAAAATACGAGTCTTTAGCAGCATTTGTATAAAAATGCACAATCCATAAAGTGATTAGAAGTGTTCGTTCAGTCCTTTTAATTACCGAACCAATCAAATTTCCTTTAACTGAATTGATTGTACATTTTTTTCTTGGTTTTTGTGTTATTTTTTACTCTTATAGTAGACTAAATTTATCGTTTTACCCTTATATTCTTTTTGCATTAATTTAGTCCTTGAAGTTGTTTATGGTGTTCATCTTAGCCCTCAAAGTCCGTTTCGACTAACAGAACCATTAGTCTTTTGCGTTTATCAACACCAACAATTTCCAAATCAGCCAATATTACTGACGTAGCTAGGTGATGACATGACATTGACTAAAAATAATAATAATATATTTAAAAATTTTACTAAATACAAAGGTTAGAAAAAATTCTAAAATTTTTGTCATAATCCTTTAATCTCACTAAAATAAATAATAAATTATGGTAATTTGTTCTAATCATTGTGTTTAATAAATATTTTAATCTAATCCTTAAATCCACAGATGCATAAGACTCACAGTTCTATTAGCCAAAATGGTCTACGAACTTCGAGGGCTAGGATGAACACCGTAAACAACTTCGAGGGTTAAATTGATGTAAAAAAACATATGAGAGAAAATGACAAATTTGTTCTATTACAGGGGTAAAAATAACATTTAAACCTTTTTTAATCGTTAATTGAATTTGTAACACCCCGAAAATTGGGTTAGTAGTTTCAGGTATTACACGTTGGGCTTAGGGTGCTAAATAAGCTCAATTTAAATTAATTGGGTCAATGATGGAGGATTTGGGCTTGTAGGAAGCCCACTAAGTGTTAAAAAAGGTAGTTTTGTTGTGGGCATAAAAGAAGAGGGGCCAAGGGAATCATTAACCCCTTGTTTGAAAATAATGTTGAATAGTAATTAAAGAGGATGATGTAAACGGGAGAAAATATGAACATATATCTTATCTTTTTCTCCACCCTTTTCATCTTCTTCCTCTCTTCTCTCATCTCTTCTTCATCCTCAAAGTTGAAAAAAGTTGATAACTTTATTGTGTAGCAAGGCTTATCAAAATTTCTAAAGGTAAGAAATGAAATCTACACCCATAGAGCTCCATTTCTAGCTAAAATTTTAAGGTTTGGCCATGGTGGCCAAAATGTGGGTTTTAAAGAGGTTTTGATTTCTGAACCTGAGAGCATTTCTAAGTCATTTATAAGTATTGAGAAACATGTTTCTAAACACTTAGAGCATTAAAATCAATCTGTATCCTCTTTGTTTGCTTTGGCTAGTGAAGGAGCTTGGTGAGTGTTCTAAAGCCAATAACAAAGATAAGTTGGTGCTTGGGTGACTCTTGGAGCCTTCTTTCTTTAATTAGAGCTAAGGTAACACATAAGAAACTCCCCTCTACCATATGTAAGCCATGGACTATGTTTTGTTTGCTTGTGTGTTTATTTGGTGCTAAGTGGGTGTTAATGGTAGTAGGCTTAATTGATACTTTTTTTGAGTTAAAAATGACTCTTTATATTGCTAATAAACCCCATAAAACTTAACAAACCTTTGGGTATCCTTAAGAGGGCTTATGAGAGGTTTAGGAAACCATTTTTGTGCCCAGACAGGACACTCTAGTTCGTTAGTATCAATATTGTAAGAACAATACCGATATTGTTCTTAATATAGGGCAAAATTGAGGTAAATTTGAGGGTGAATATCGATACCCCTTCAAGGAGTATCGATACTCGGGGTCCGGATACTTATAGGATGGTATCAATACTGGTGACAAATCGAGGATTCCAGTAACCAAATTCGGTATCGATACCATGGGATATCGATACCATAGAGAGAGTATGATACCTCTATCAGGGTATCGATACTGACAGGCTTAGTATCGGTACTGACGAGCTATTTTAGGCATAAAACTTTGTTAACTTTATAAGTTTAAAAGGGGGTTATGGGAACAGCGATGGCTCTTAAATAAGACTACAAGTGCGAATATTTTTCAAAACCCTAATGAACGACAACGTAAATTTGATGGCATAAAACTACCTTTATTTTCCACTCAGGCAACGACGAAGACACCTGAGTTTCTTGAGCGATTACACGTACTATTCGAATATGAATGTAGAGGTAACCATATTCTTTTATCAAGTGTTATGACACTTTTGTATCAGTGCAAATGCACTTTTGTATCAGTGCGAACGCACTTTAGTGTTAGTGCTAAAGCACTTCAGTTATTTAATGGCAAACCACATTATGATCCTTTTGATATTGTGTTGCATATCCTCATGCTATGAATTATTCCTATTGCATACAGTTGTATTATTACTTAACTTGCTAGCCATTCGTAGTTAATTGATGCATGTATTATAGTGGAGTCATTTATGTGGCACTGAGTTTGTAGCTCAACATTTGGGTTTGTTTATATTCACAGATTAGTAGGTACCGAATTTGGGAGCTCATCGCCGAGCTCGTAAATTCCAGATATCAACAACAAACATAGTATATCTTGATTATTATAACAGGCATGTATTGTCATAGAACCTTTTGTAATTGAGTCATAACTTTTGGATTACTATATTTGATAAATTATTTTAGGAACTCCTTGGTTTGTAAACTTAACTACTACTATTTTATTTTGTTTTAAATACGATGAATTAATGTTTAACAAAAATAGGTTAGCCACTATGGTGGTCTCGTGTAATGCCCAAACCCACCAGGTTTCTCTGTAATAGGATTTGGGTATTACATTTAGTGGTATCAAAACATCAGGTTTAGTAGTTCCTAGGACCCGCAGGTTAGAGTTAATAAGAGTCAGTGATGTACGTGCCCCTAGAATGTCAATAAACTTGGTTGTCTGGAAAATGGCAATAATAACTCCCTTCTTTGAACCTTGTAAGATATGGTTGATGACTCAGCTCTCAACTAGGAGGTTCGTAACAAGAGTCTCGTTTTACTGGCTGGCGATGTTGGCGATGAGTAGGTCCTAGAAACTTATGACAGGGATGTTCTAGAGGGAAAAGGAGTCGATGAGGCCACCTTCTTCAAGGACCTCACTGTTGCTCTTAGAAATATTGTGCGAGCTTTTCCAAGAGCACCTGTCGTACCTACCCCATATGCTCCATCACCCTTAACACCTCAAGAGTCATCCGTAAAGCGACTTAGGTGTTATAAGACCATGAACTTTTATGGTACTGGTGAGGATTACTTGATAACAACCGACCAATGACTCTGTGATACTCTTCGCACTTTGAGATAGCTACATCTTACCCCGAAGGGTAAGCTCGAGTGCATCACCACCCTGCTGAAGGGTGATGCCATCGACTAGTGGGAGATAGTTAAGCTACCTTTAGAACCTGAGAGACCGATGTGGGAATACTTCTTGGAGGAGTTCAGAAAGAAATAAATTGGGGAGATACACATTGAGGATATGAGGGGCCAGTTCACACATATTGTCCAGGGTGACCGATCGATGATAGAGTACTACTCGTATTGTACGAGTGTGACTTCTTCTACCTAATTCGTTACGTGCTTGAGTTAGTAGCATCCGAGTACCACCATTGTCGGAGGTTCAAAGAGGGCTTCACATCGACATCCTGACCAAGTTATTCGTTGATCCCCATGAGTTTTTGATATCGAGAGGGTTCTTTTGAGGAGGGCCAGCTTGATGACTGATTCGAGAGGCCAGAGTTAGAGAGCACTAGATTCTTTCAGACCATCGCAGTCTTCAGGCAAGAGTAGGGATTCCCATGGAGGAGGGAGTTTCCCACCGTCGTAGTCCAGGAGGACTGGATAAAGTTTTGGATGCCATCAGGGATCACGATAGCACAGGAGACCATTAAAATCGACCTTGGTGGTGAGCACTTGAGGTTTTGGCAGAGGAGCACAGCCTCTACAGTGCAAACATTGCGATAAATGATATTTTGGGGAGTACTATAAAGTTACAAAGACTTACTTCAGTTGTAGGTCACTGGAGTATTATGTCTGAGACTGGCTTGAGGCAAGTAGTCAATATCACTGGCACCCCAGAGATCAAAGCAGTCGACTTAGAGGGGTCGAGGATCGATCCTTGAAGGTGGTAGTTCAATAGTGGGATAGAAGAGTAGTGGCACTACCTGATCCGTAGCAAATCTTGAGGCTAGGTTCGTTTCAAGACAGCATGTAGTGAAGGCCCATGAGG